ACAAACAGACAGACAGGACAAAAACAATATACCCCCAGGATCTTTCAATCCGGGGGCATAAAAATTTTCTCAAGAGCAGCAAAGATATGATTTATAGTCATATTAATATGGAAGCATCCTCAGTGTAGATTCAAGTTTGTTCAAATCAAGTGCTTACTGCACACTTAGTCATCACACTATATGGGTCTCTTGTTTTTGTTGTTTATAAATTAACAAATGTCACCTCATCAACCTATTTTAAGTGAGTATTTTGGTCAACTCTCAGTTTTGAAAGTGTTTCATAAGACAGTTGTGTTAGATATCATAAAAATGTGTCTCACCAGTCTAAATTAGTCAGCATTTTATGAACGTAAAACAGATAAAAAGGAAATGATATCCATGTTTTTATAAATGATGGTACATTTGAATTTGCTTCTTATAAAGTAACCAACACCTACATCTGTACATATATATGTATGTATGTATGTATATAATTTTTTTTAACGAAATTAGAGTATCATTCAACCTGAAATGTTTTCTACTTGTTCAACAAAAAATTGAAGCATTTTTTTTTAAATTTGCTTTTAAGTAGCTCAATGAAAAATGGAGATATAATTTGTTCACAGCTTGTGAACATGTATTTTAACAAGTTGAATGATCTACATATAGATCTCCCTGTAACTTCTCCCTATTGGGGCGACATTGAGTTTGTCATCAATGCTTGACAATGCTTTTAGTTAAATGGAAACATTAAAATGTCTTGCTTTTCCAACTTTATATGCATTTAATGGCTCTCATCCAGTATTTAACACCGGTTTGTCATCAAAGTTCTTTTAAACCTCTAAGGATGGTACATTGTATGTAATATACATTTAATTGGAACTTAATTGGAACTCTTCTTTAGCAATACACGAATATTTATCATACTGATGCATTTTTTACTTCTCTGAAATAGTTTAATTGCAGGCATTTAAATTTTAATATCTATATACAAAACATTTTTTTTCATTTGGATTAATAGTTATGAAATAAATTTAGTTTAATCAAACATTTCCCCCATTTAGTATCATTTTATTGTTGTGTTTAAATTGTGTCAATATACTGCAAGATCAAAAGATTTCCAGGCGAATAAAAAGCTTGACAAGCTAAGCATACTATTAGAATGTCCTTGACATCAAGATGACGTCCAACTAAGATGTTTTTCATGTTTGAGAGCACCTGTCCCTGTACCTACGTCAGATCATTCGTTACTCATCTTGATCACCAAGGTGTTTGTAGAACGTCTCTCCATAATTATGCACAGGACTGCCGGCCCTATCTTGACAGATCAGTCCTAGTGATTTCTTGCCTACGTTAAGTGGACCATCCTGTTTTGTTTCTGATTTTTGATTCATCATCAATACTTTTCCTGAAGGGTCAGTTTGCTGATTATATCTACTTTTATAAACCCTAAATTTTCAGCAATATTTCTTCCTTTTAAGAGCACCGCGATCAGTACTCGGGACACAAAGTATTAATTTTTAAACAGAATCATAATCAGTGAAGGTTAAACTTGTGCACTAAATGACATACATATCAAAATCCACCAAGGACTCATTATTGATGAAACCATCGGGAAAAAAAAACTGAACAGCACGTGTTTATGAACGTTTATTAGGTTTTGATTTGTAATATAGTTCCTGTAATGTTACCAAGTGCTAATCTCAATATACGAAATCAGAATTCTTATTTCTTACATCACATCTAACCATAGTATAAGGTGCTTGTTTACTTATTATATAGATCCTTCTGAAGAGAAATGTAAATTAATGCAGGATTTTGATTCCTAGTACTCTCAGTATTGTGCTAGAATTGTCCAAGATGATGCATCATCAGTGATTCCTCCTTTTGGATGTGATTGATATTACACAATATTATCCCCACCTTTTATACATATAAAAATCATTATGATTTACCTTTTACTATTCTGTGTAATTTTTTTTCCATTCCAACCATCATGCAAGTATACGGTTATAAGCAACAGATTGCTGAACAGTGCAGAACTGAAAAAGAAAATACTTGTCCTCAATTTACAATGATATTGTGAATTAGTCTTTAATTCCCCTGCCCTACCCACCTCTAGATGTACTATAACTAAGGTCAAAATGATTTCATTGATTATTTGTAATCCCTATGAAGTCCTCCAAATAGATTGGCCTCCACTCGCTAACTGTTCCAATCATGATCCCCAATTTTGTATTGACATATACATCCTACAATGACTTTCAAGTGCCTTTTCAGGCTTTTGATTTATTTACCAATATTCTTAAAGTATATTTCTTGTGCCAATGTTTTTGCAAGGATTTCTCAATTCTTCCATCTTTGGGGAGAGTTTTTTCGTCGATAAGCAAACCTTGGGTGATTTGACAGTGAAGCTAATGTGAAGACTTGGTATGGGATTCTGACATTAAGCTGTTAGTTTTTCAATATTCTTTCACACACCTCATTACTGACAAGTCCGATTTAGAGAGAACCTCTGTTAATACCCCCTAAATCTGTTTTGAAGTATATTTTTCAGTCCAGTATTAAGTGGGAGAAGCCCAGTGGGTCTGCCCTGCAAGACAATAGGCTTACTGTCAAGATGGGCCTATCTTATCTCCAGATTTGAGCATTTAAGCTGGAAGGATTAGCCATTTTGATGCGCACCCCACCTTTTGTTTTAAGTCGGCTTTACCTTGATTGGGTATAAGACACCTTGTACAAATACATTATCTCTTTTTGTAATAAAGTTTATGAGATATAAAAATTTTTTAATCCCCTGTTTAAGGAGCATTAAAAGGTGATAATTATTGCCATGTAAATCCCTAATAACTAATTGTTTTCCAATGATTTACTAGCCCTACAAACTAGGGAATGCTTCAGAGATGTGTAGCTAGGTAGCCTGCCTTCCCTACAATGCTTTAGTGGGTTTTGGTCGTCAATTACTTCAAAGGCATCGAAAGATTTGTATGATATAATTAGCACTTCAAAATTGAACAGGAAATATAAAACAGAATGTTTACTTATTTACATAAATGTTCCTTGTCAAAGATAGTAATGGGTTAGGGATTTGTGAGTAAGTCGTTTATTATATAAATACACACATATATCATAGCCTTGTGTGACCACAAAACCTAATGATTTTTTCTGTCCAACCATCACCTATATGCACCAAGTATCGCATGTTCACAGATTTTGGCATGACGCCACTTTTTAAAAATTGCATGTTTAATTTTTCAACATCCTAATCTGTCATATTCCACAGTAAATTTTGTTTGGCAAAAAGCCATACTGTCTAGCGCTAGCAACTAAAGGATGTGAAATCGTGATGTCCATAAGTGTAACAACAAAGGACATCTAGACACATAAAATGAGATTCTTTTTTTAAGAATAGAATAGAAAATACTAAAACTAGTTGAATCTATTAATAATTTTTCATATTAAATATTCCTCTTCTTAATTATTTTTATTTAACACATGTAATTTAACAAAGAGCTGGTATATGTGTACCCAACTTGCAGTTTAATTATTGACGATTGATAAATAAGTTCATCGAGGAATCAGATGGCCTTCTTGAATTCTGTGCTTCCCATTTATTAACAATATGTAATGATGAAATGACACATTATCTGAGGGGTCAGGGACATCCATATTGTAATGTGCGGATCAAATTTTTATTTTACCACAGTAATTTATTTTAAAGAAACTGGAGCCTTTATTATGGTGATAAAATTTTGGATTGATATTACACTTGAATAACTTAAGAAGTACGGATTTGTGTTTTAAGTATGTGAAGAATATTTAAACAACACTGCATAATAACTGGATCTTCACTGAAGTGAAAATACCTGTGAAAAAATATTTTGTATGGATTAGATCCTAAGATTTCGCAGTTGAAAAGTATATGTAGATTTTATTTTATGGAAAACTTCTTGCATGTCGTAAAAGTCCTCTATTAGGGCTTAAAAGGTTTATTACTAACTGTAAGGCAAATGCCTGTCATTTGAAGACCTTTCATTTATAATAAGGTTCTACTACACAATCTCTTAAAATGTATACATACAGATAGAGTAAATGTATTTTCTTGTCAAATGGATTCAAGCATGAATTTTTCCACCACAATGCATCAGCAAACTTTCCTTGATTATTCATTTGTCTGCTGGAATGTTTAGAAGTCTCTACCTGTGCATGTGTGCTGGTAAGATTTTCTGGCGCGGTACCTGCTGCACAGGTGTAAATGTCACTTTACGAAACAGACCTGTATCTCTAATTTAGGAGAGATCTGGGCACCTGATTGTAAATGTCTGGAGGAGAATTCACAATGCCTTTAAAAAAAGATAACACCCTATCTCCCAAAAACAAGTCCTTGAGTTTTAAAGATTAAAAAAGCTCAGTGTTAATTCTTTTAAATAGGCATTGTTAACCCATACTTTTATTTTATTTAGTGCAGCTAACAATTTGGATTTCCTGCTTTTGAATAAAATGACCAAATTAAGTATTCGCCCCTAAGAACGCTTTTCTATTATTCTGTAAATACTCTGTTTAGAATGAAATGTTGACTCAATATTTTCAAAGATGTAATCTCCAAATTTTGAGGTAGAATTTTACAGGAAATGGGCTATTGAAACGGATTTGTCAAATTTACCTGCACATCAAGTTTATGGTAGAAAATCAATAAAGGTTTTCATGGCGCAATATCTTTGTTAAGAGTAGGCTGCCTCTATGGTCAACAAGTGTCTCATTCAAAGCTCGTAACTGTATTTGTGGCTATGATTTAAACAGGCATCTTATTTTGTATGCTTTAGCAACTTCATTCATTTACATATGCAAATTCTACCACTTTCTAGATTGATCATAAATCATCCTTATTCCTGCGAAAAGTGACAAAGTTTAGGCATAATTTTGAAATCCCACAACCTTAATTAACACAGTTATTTAAGAATTTTGTTTTTTTTTTTCAATAATTTCTGCAAGAAATACAAACTTTTTGTTTCTTTTTTCAGAAAACCTGAGAGCCATGTGACATTGAACGAGAATTTTAGTTTTATGAACACTGAAAGGTGTAAAAATACTTGATTGAGTCATCAAATGTAAACATTTTACGATGCATTTTGCTCTTGCAACTTAAAATGGAAACCTTTGAAGTGATTTGTAATAACATATTTTTATCTTTGCAGAATAAATTATATATCTTTTAAAATGAAATGAATTCCTTGTTTTGTTTGGAAACAGGAAGTATTTTTCAGGTGAATTATATCATAACCTTTTGTTTTGATTGATATCAACATGCTAAAAAATATGAATATTTAACACATTGGAAACAATAAATGCATCAAAAAGATGTTTGTGGTTTTTTGCCAAAACTTTTGTTTAATTTCACAAAAAAACTCTTGTTTGCAGACATTTGCAATTCCCAGTTTGACGGATTTTTGATTGTGAAATATGAATATTTATTAATCTTCTGACACCTGATATTAAATGTTTTGTGGTGTACATATAACCATTACCCGCCCCAAGTTCTCTTCGTCTAGGTATGGTTATGTCCTTGTAAACATTTTAATTAAATAAGTGTTATATGACTCATTGCTCCCCACTGCATAATGACAAACCTTTAAAAAGATTTCTTTTGTTCAAAAATAGAGCAATTTATTTTATCATTCTTATAATATTACTCAGTTTTATTTACAAATACCTTTTCATTTTGATTTAACAGCAAGTGACATTTTCAATTTTTTAAACAAGATGCAATTAATTCTTTAAGAAGGACAAAAAAATATATTGAAAGTTTCGGATTTGTAGGAATTTCCCAGATAAAATTCATTTCTCAAAGCAGACTTTTTGTATTAAATGTAATGTGTTTCTCATGCATGAACATTATATGGCTCTGTCTAATATGAAGTAGTATTCTCATCGTAATTCACATCAGGATGTTCCAGTGAAATGCTGCCCTCTAGGTATTTTCCTTTCTACAAACCATGTAGAAAATATGTGCTTATAATGTTTAGCAAGATCTGCTTGGAATGAATTAATTCTCATAACTGGGATACCTTTAGAATATGAAATATGATATTAAGAAAGAAAGAGATATGTTAGATAGCTTAAATTTGACTTAGAAAATTTTAAAAATGTAATAATTTCAAGAATTGTACAATAAAATGCAATGTGACAGACCATATGCATTGTGCTTACTTTGTTCATACGTCTGTGTGCTAGGAACCTTTTAGGAAATATAAGTACATATAAAATGATTGCTGATAACCAACCAAAGTTTTAATTTTTTTTTCGGGGGGGGGGGGGGTAAGGTTTCTTTAGCTGCTTTTGTTGGGGAATGTAATTTATAACACTAGAGGACATGATGAAAGTTTTTGATAAAAAGTAGAGATGAAGTGATTTTAATTCAAGTTGGCTTACATGTAAAGACCCTTTACATGTGGTTTAGCCCAATTGAATGACTTATAGACTAGTTTATTTACCAAGAGATTCTTAACAACACTTGGTATCTGTCTATAAATGAGCTTCTATCTTGTCTTTTGAATTATAAAAACTTTTTCAACCCTTTCCGCTTACTAGGTTTTGGAATTCTATACTTAATGTCCAAAGGCACAAGAATCTTAAGTTTATAAAGACATGAATTGTATTACTGTTGTAAATCACTAACATTTGTTGATACTGAATTATTTAAGACCACTGAACTTTTAGTCATTCTTTTTTTCCATATAGTTTGGCCCTTAGGACTGGTCCCTATATAATGGTAAGAAGGTTTACCAGCACAAAGAGAACGGCTCAAGGAGATAGCCTATCGCTACTCCTTGTAATGTTAACTGTCTTATTAAAATTTTAATGAATCTCGGACCTATAAATTGTTACCCTCTTCCATTTTGAGAAATCTTGAATAAACATTGCCTCACAAAGGGATGTAATGCTGTGACACAATGGACCCTAAGATATGGAACCCACTAATGGCAAGATCAGGTGGTCGTACACGACTGTCCACAATATCGGTATCAAGTGTGTCTTGTTTGATCAAATTTTGAAATTTAAAGTAAGATTGACAATCTTCGGTATCTGTATGACTGCGTATTAAGATTCTGTTTCCGGTCTTTTTAGGCCAAGATGTCGAGTACCTTTGATAAAAATAGAGAGAGTTTTAAAAAATCTCCCAACACAAGGTGAAGCTAATAATGCAGTGACATTAATAAAATATCCATGACACTTTTGAATAGTCTAGTAATAAAGGATAAAATCATTTCTAGTTATGTATGATCTGTAATCATATACAATTATACTTTTGATTGTGCTCTGAATTCCCATCAACTAGAAATCTGGCCCTAGAATCACGAATCTGTCCGACTTAAAGTCAAAATGTAAGTCATTTAAAAAACGAATATATATTATAAACTGATACTTGAAAATTAAAATTAACAACTTGAAAGGGAGACGTTTTTTACATTACAAGTCAAATTCTATGTGTTTCTATAATAGAACTTTAAGACAATTTGTAGAAATTATGTCTGAAGTCTAAAACTTCATATCCAAAGCATAATATTCCTATACTGTGAGAAAACGTGAAGTAATTTAAATATTTTGTCCATTTCCATAAAAAAATCAGTTTTTGATTAATTGATTTTAACCCTCGGGGATATATAGTGGTGCATTTTATTATATTCGTTCCTTTAAAAAGATTTTCCTTCTTTTCTTTCACCAAAATGTGGTTACTGATACGAGTCAAGGTCGTGCCCTTCTTCTTTGCAATATTCAAGGATCACTTACTGTATATCATTAAATAAAAATCGACCAAAAAGGGGGATTTAAATTTTTTCACATTTAAGATGTCGAAGATCGGTCCTGTTTGTGAAAAAAAAATCGGTGATCGTGAGCTGTAGGGAACAAACACTAAAACCTCTAAGTTATTGATTTCTACAAAGACATGTCTCTAATTCACAGATAAAATCGCTCAAAGATACTTAATTCACCTGGGGGATAAGTTTTCTTTCAAAATCTGGTTGGGATCCAATATTTGTCAAATGGGACCTCGAAGAAGCTAATAGAAACGCATGCAATGGACTAGTTTATTACACTGGTGATATTGTGAGATTTAAGCGATTTGCTTACTGTAATAAAATCACAAATCAAAAGGTCGACCTTTTGTGCTGATATATTCGATTTTTATTTCTGTAAAATTAGGTTGATATATATAGGCAATATACGTCGGATAAACTCAGTAGGTATTGACGACTGTAATGTTTTATTGCTGAAGTTAAACGCGACGCTTGAACAGCTCATTCTATTTTATACAACTTTTTGGGGTGTGCTTATATTATCAAGGAAGGAAAAACTCATGTTTTGTTTAGTTAAATTAATGTGAGCAAAATTCTTTTTTCATATCATAAGGTTTTATTTTTCATATGTTATTTTTGATTTGATATTCAAGTATTCCATTTCATCTGCTACAAATTACATTTAAAATTGGGATAAGCGAACAGGTTGTATAGAAAATTTACTGGCTAAAAAATGAGATTGATAATTATGTACATATATATTTCCCGACTTTTTTTTTTTTTAATTATGAAATATTTTCTGCCATTTTTTAAAATATCGTTCATGATGTTTACTATTTAATGTATGTGTATATTTCAAGAAATGCCTTTGAAGACGAACAATTTAGCTACTTATTTGGCAATGTTTCATGCTTGGCAATTTCAGCATATATAATATGTCCTTTCTTTTTCTATTACGAAATAAAATACACGTTTGGATGTACTTTGGAATTTCATGTCTAATTTATGAAAGATGTTAAAGTAGAAATTTCAGGATAATGTTGACATCGTTTTTGGTTTTTTAAAAAGAAATCTAGATATATATTTGTGTTACATCGAAAGTTAAAATTCTCATTTAAACTTTTCTTTAAGTAAGATAGTTATATATGTTTTTAATTAAAATTATAAACTTTTATTTTAACACACACCTGAAAAGAATCTCGAGAGAGAGAGAGAGAGAGAGAGGAGAGGATGGGCAAATTCAGGAATATCAACCAAATTATATTCAAATTTATTCAAAACTACACATATCACCCTACTCCAGCTCAACCGGAAATATTAAACCCTTCAATGTCACCTACTCTCGTTTCTCTAAAATTTAACATAGTCCTTGAATACCGGGTTTTAAAGATAAAATTTTTATAATGCTCTTTAGAATAGCGGTCCCTTTAATCGAATAACACTGAAACGGGTGCATTTTCTTCACTTTTTCTACCCCAATCCGATATTGGAATATTGTCATGCTCTACCCCAGCCATGGTTCTGCTCAGTGTTAAAGGAGAGGGGGGAAAGGATATCGACTGGTGTTCATACTTTTCTCACTTGCATGTTTATTAGTCTATTCAAATAAAGACGAGCATTTTCTAAATAGACACAATCAAATGGATAAAATACAAGATCAAAAGAAAATGCTTTAGTCATTTCACTCTGGCACAGAAAGAACCATAAATATTCCCTCTTCTCATTTCGAAGGTCATATCTTGTCAGCGTAGAGTCTTTGAGTAGAGTCTCAAGAACGAGTCCGCCAGTATCAAAAAAAAAAAAAAAAAAAATAACCGTCACAAAAAGAAACATAGGCAATATATGTATACCGCACCCACCTGGTTTTTTTTTTTTTATTTTATGAGGACATGATTTGATCAACAAAAACTTGATATTGAAAATCATGAAGGGTTACAGTTTCAATTTAATGTGACAAGGCATTTCCTGTCTTGTGTTACCGGGCTTCTTTATCGGGTGACCTATTACGTCGTAAGAGCTACAGCAATTTTTGATCCTGACCAAAGTCATTATAATTCCATTATCTGGGTCAATGCAAAGCAGGAAAAAGTAATTACATTTTATGAATTGATTGTGGTTCATTCATAAGAAATACCAGGGCTTTGACAAAGGTGCACTTAGATAACGGGTACGGGAACAGTGTTACGCAATAGGCGTTGAAAAAAAGTGAGTAATAGACGATATGCGTAGGTGATGGATTTGCTGTATAATCTGCTTACCCGTTAGATTTAAGGATGTGTATCCCATGTGTTATTGTCCAATTTATTGGGTCGAAATGTTGGGTTTGTAGACATTCTTTCGAGTATTTAGATGACAGACATGGTTTTGGAGGGGTAACAATACCAAGAAAAGCCTCCAGTGTCATACTGTATCTGTCTGATCAATAGACGGGGATTTTTTAAATGGAAAAGATTTAAAAATACGGTTGCAATTGAATCTTTAGCCGATTTTAAATAAATAGATCTGTAATCCCTTCTAAAGTGCTAAAGGGTAGAACAAGCCGAGGAATTCTCTTTCTCTTCGGCAGCCCACTGCTAAAGCGGATTAACATCCTCGTTTTCATCAGTAGATCTACCTGGTGAAATTATCTCTCTCAATGTCGCATTAACGACGTCAACGAGGATCGTGTTATCCATATACTCCCTGCTATTTACTTCTTATTAGTACCAACGACATGCTGTTACGTAAACGTTTTTTTATTTATTAATTTCAGTTGACTGTTTGGTTTGTTGACTTTTATTTTACTCACTTATACCTCACCTGATGGAAATATTTTCAAGTACACGGACACTTATATTTCAGAGTCTGTAATGGCTTCAAAAGATTGTGTGTTTCGGGCTTATGGTATGTTTGCCCGAGAACTTTTCTTACTTGGCAAAAAAGTACACAGTTACGCAAATGTAAATTAACAAACAGATTAAGACATCAATATTTGTTATCAGTTAATAGACTGGACAAGTACCAAAATGTGATTGTATCACCATCGTTTGTTTTTTCATGCATCGCCTAAGCAAATGTCTGCGACTCGGAGACATTGAATTTGCTGCTTGGTCAATTTTGTTCCTTTGTCATTGTCCTTCAGGACCGACACACATTGTACAAACACTGAGAAACGGTGAAAAAA